CACAGTTGGAGTACTGCGTCCAGTTCTGGGCACCGCACTTTAGGAGAGATGTCGCCAGCATTGAAAGGGTCCAGAGGAGGGCCACCGCATGATCCGGGGCAGCAGGGCAGACCCTATGAGGAGAAGCTATGGGGCCTGAACCTGTGGGGCCTGAACCTGTTCAGCCTTCACAAGAGAAGGCTGAGAGGGGACCTGGTGGCTGTCTACAAACTTACCAGGGGGGACCAGCGGGGAATGGGAGAGATCCTGTTCACCTGTGCACCTCCCAGAGTAACAAGGAATAACGGCCATAAGTTGTCTGAGAGTAGGTACAGGCTGGACATTAGAAGGCACTATTTCACAGTCAGAGCAGCTAGGATCTGGAACCAACTTCCAAGGGAACTAGTGCTGGCTCCTACCTTGGGGGTCTTTAAGAGAAGGCTTGACCTAGCTGGGGTCATATAAGCCCAATATTCTCTCCTGCTCAGGGCAGGGGGTCAGAGTTGATGATCTACTTAGGTCCCTTATGACTCTACATCTATGAATCTATTCATCTATGTTGAGTTGGGTCAGAGTAGGCCCAGCTGGTGGGTTTGGGGGGGTGAGCTTGCCAACCCAGAGCTACTCCACTCTGGCTCAGCATGCTGTGGAGGGGCTGGCTGGGGTACGCAGTCCCTGCACTGGCAAGAAGTCACCACACTGTAGCACCCTAGTGCCCCAGCCAGCTCTAGTCACTGTCTACATGTGTTTAGGTGTGCTAAATAACTGCACAATAGGATAGTACTTGTCCCAAAAAGTACTATCCTACAGCAGAGTTAGTTAATTTACTGCGCCCTAATAGCGGTTCACATATAAGCAGTGACACTTTACTGCAGAGCTAATTAATCAACTCCTCACTAAAGTACACATGTAGATGCATCTCATGTGTGCCAAAATTGACCAAGTTTGCTCTCTGTTGTAAATTAGTAATCCCAGTCTTTTGTACGTCCATAACCAAATCTAAAACTGCTGCATCTCATAAGTCAATTTTGAGGGACTTACATGAACTGATTTGTAGTAATAAGGAGACCCCTGTGTATAAATCCTAATAAAAATATTAAAATATGTTTCTGCCACTTCCAAATTGGACCTGGAGAGCAATCTGTGCTCTGAAGAAACTACAGTGTCAAAGAATCCCCAATTAGGAAGTAAGATGTAGTCTTGATGGATCCCTTACTGTCAGTCTAAAATGTGATTCTCTCTTACTGGAGGGATACAAAGGGCTATATCCTGCTCTGGAAATGGCCTGGACTTTATAATTTAGTAATTTTATTTTTTAATCCAATACTCTGTATGGAAGATGGGGATAGTTTGGAAATTTAGGCTTTTCTGGGAAATCGCAACCACCGGAGCTGACAGGTGTGCAACAGTGTGTTTTGTAGGTAAGGGACTCCTTGCATTTGGGTAAAAGAGGTGCTCTTTTTAGTTTAGGGTGGACACTGCTAAAAACAGCTCTGGATATTTAGACTGCTCTCTTGTCATACCAGATCTCGAAGTTGTTGAAGAAGCTGCAAAACATCCATGAGCTTTTCTTCCACCAGTGACAGTCTAACTCTTTCAGTCTCCAACATCTGTAGCTCCATCTTCAACAATTCCGTCTCCTCCACTTTTTGTTGCAACTCACCTAGCAATGGGCCTTTCATCTGGACAATGACATAGGAAATTAAAAACACTGGAAGTTTTCATTTTCTGCCACAAAAATTGCAGTTAAGGAGGAAAATTTATCTGCCAAATGTCAGTTCACTTCAGAAAACTATCTTGGAAAGAAGTGCATTTCTTTAAGATATTGCAGAAGGTGTTACATCAACAGAAGTAATAGTTGCTAGGAAATGTATGGTTGGTTGCTCTTCTGCTTAATGACAGTTCTTTAATGACAATTCATTCAGTATTTACTGCAGCCAGGCCATTCAGAAATCCTGTTATCATTCTGAATTTCTTCAATCCTTCTCATATCTGTTTTTGTCCAAGGGAATAATTCAGATAGGGCTGTCTGTACACTCCCCAACCTTTAGGTCTGTGCATGGAACACAGATGTATTATGTAAGCTAAGTGGCTCAGCTAGTTTTTTGTAAGCATCTCAGAAAAGGTGGTTCTTGGGGAAGGATTTTAGACCCTGGCTCAGGAAAGCTTTTGTACACATATGTACATAAGGGAAAGGTTCCAAAGAAGTGCTGGAAGTTCCCAAACCAATATTCTGCCACAAGATATTTTGATAAAACAGAATATTTAGACAGAAAAAAGGGCTGCTTCCCTGCTCCAACAACTTCTCCTTACATAAGCAGGTCCTGCATGTCTTTAAGTGCTTTGTTCAATCCAAGGACCAAGATACATACAGTCTGGTAGAGTAGGTAGAAGCAACCTTGTAGAGTCAATGAAGGATCTGGAGAACAGAATCAGCAGCCAAGCTGGACTCAGTCACGATTTGTGCCTATCACCCCCCGACCACCCTGCTGATTTGCTGTATCTCTCTACCCATCTCCTGCCTGTCCTACACAACACTCTCTTGCAGAAGTAACTGTCTGCCTTCCTTTAGGCATGGAAAATGCCACAAGCCAAGTTATCTGAGTAACAGAATCACTGAATTGGGTTTTAATTTCTATAAAAACAAGCCTGAATCCCAGTTTGGGGAGTTGCAGCACTTCATGGCAATGGCTCCACTGTATGCTGGAGATTCCCATGGAAAAGATACCTCCAATCACACGCTAAATCTGTGCCTGCTACGTGCTTTGGAGCAGATCCCTCTGAAAAAGCTCCACTACAACATGTCTGTGTTTGGCATGTGTGAATGAGAGTAGATGAGCAGGGCATGCTTGGGAATCCTCTCTCCAAGAGCACTGCCGCAGGCTGGTTCTAGGTAGTCCTCTGACGCTGAGGACTTCATCTCAGTCCCTGCTTTTCATATCACAAAGCAGTTTTGTAGTTAGGGTAAGTCAAAGCCTCTCTTTGCCAGAGGTCAGGGCCTGGTATAGGAGAGGGACCATGGAACAGGAAAACAGTGTATTGGCTGATCTATTAAAAAGAGAGCCAAAAAAGTGGTGGTCAGAAAAATGTTTAGCTGAAATATTAATTTCAGGTTTGCATACGCACTCAAGTTAATTCAATCAAAATAAACCCTAGTCTTCATTCATTTCTGGCCCCAGGCACAGCAGACAGAATTCTTATCATTTTTGCTATTGTGGTTTCCAAACGTAAGCCAGATAAGAATAAATACATTACACTAAGGAACCAAATTCTGGGGGATAAATTCCATGTTTGCTGGTTATGTTTATTCCTTTTTGGTATTATCATTCATCTTTACTGCAGCTCTAGCAGTAGCTAGAGAGGGCTGGACTGAAGTAACTACAGGCTTTCAAGTAGAGTTGCTACTTAGATTTTATTTGGTGGAAAATATTCTACTCAATACTTAACACGGGCTGGAACTTCATTTTTCTAAAGAATAATTGGGATCAGAATGAAGAAGTAAAATAATCCCATGTCCAAACAGGGCATGTCTGCACATGCATATTAATGCAATGCAATACACTCCTGGGTGCTGCATTTGTATGTGCACCCAGGACCACAGCACGCTGAGCCAAGGTGGAGCAACCCTGGCTGGCAGGGGACCCTGGGGGTCAGTCTGCCAGCCTAGGGCTGCTCCAGCCCAGCCTAATATACTGTGGTTGGGCTGGCTGGGGTTGGAGCACAAGAGTGCTCCAATGTGGGTCTAGCCACCAGGCAGCTCCCGCACTGAAGCACCCTTGTTCCCCAGCCAGCTGCATCGGCATCTACATATATGGTGCTGTGGAGTGAAAAACTCTGCAGCAGGGTAGTACTTGTAAATACTACCTTTCTGCAGAGTTTATTAGTTTACTCCAGCCTAACAGCCCTGCAAGTGTAGACGCTGAGTGGTTTACTGTGGAGCTAGTTAGTCTACTCCGCAGTAAACATCTTGTGTATATGTACCCACAGATTCCTTTCTCAAAGGAATGCTAAATATATTCTGACTGGCACTTGACTCAACATCAGCTTAAAATTATTTGACTATATTAGCCCTACATGAACCCTACTTTTAGAGTATCTCCAACTCTGAGCTACAGTGAACAACATGCACTTCAGATGACTTGGTGTACTTCCTCTGCCAGTGAGTTACCTAAGAATTCCTATCTGAAGTCCTATTTTGTAACTGCTGAGCACACAAACAGTTTCCTGTACATAAAGCCAACACTGTCATCATCAATGCAGCAGCAACCAGGCCAGTACATAATAAATGCACTCTGAGACAGGTGGGGTATGTAGTGAAGTGTATGTGTGCATATATCTATCTATCTGTCCACACACACACACACACTGGAGAGGGTAATACGATATTGTTCTGGTGACACACACACACACACACACACACACACACACACACGACTTCAGATTTAAAACAAGCACCTACACCAAGCACACCGCACTTTCATTACGTAGTCATAAACATGTCAGAAGATCCAAATACCATCTAAGCTGGAACTATATTTGATCAACAATACCATGTTGCTCTTTGCTACACAGGTATGCATGCCCTTCTTGCAATTCCTCTAAACTTCTATTTTACAGACAGGTTCAATTC